CGGGGTGCTATTGAGAACGCTCCAATATTTGCTTGACGGAGCCGGATGTCTCTCCCCCCCTGGGTGCTGTTGAGAACGCTCCAATATTTGCTTGACGTGGCCAGATGTCTCTCCCCCGGGGTGCTGCTGAGAACGCTCCAATATTTGCCTGACGTAGCCGGATGCCTCCCCCGGGGTGTTGTGCTTTAATGATCAACTTCCTCTAACAGAGGGTTGAGAGGCAAGGCCACCATTTGTGCTGGACGTCTGTCTTGTTTTTTCAATGCAAAAATGGTAATACTTGAATACTTATCACTTTCTCTTGCTATATCATGCTGAGATATCTATAAAATATATATTGTTTGATAATGAAGGGGTAGGTACTGGAGACAGGTACTGGTAGGTACTGGTTGGTACTGGTAGTTGTTGTGGTGTTGTGCAGGCTGCGTCAGACCCGCTCCACCTCAAGGTCTCTCACTCTACCTCCCCAAGGCAGATAATCTTAAATGTGTTCATGCATACACGCATGACAACGCACACATACAGCCGTACACACGCATACACAACACGTACTTACAATTTTCTTAACATATGCAGAGACAGATAATTTTAGCAGTAATTGTACCCAAGAGCTGGTAGTATCGTCGCTACACTGCATGTCTGTCGGTCCCAAACTATCGTTATAAGGAAGTTAACTAAAGCAGTGGTCAACCAGACTGTTAAACGCCGCTGTTTCCAGTCTGACAGAACCTAGTACCGCGCTTGTTCCAGGTGACCAGTCTCAATAGACTTACCTGAAGGGTCACAGACTAACAAATGAGGTCATTGCTATATGGGACTTTCATTGTATGTTTGCATTATCATATAAATTATTTGCATAGATTAAAAATAAACATTAAAATTATGAAATAATTAAAAACCACGTTCCTGGGTAGAAAATATATAATTTATACCATTTCCGGAGAGAAATAGTGGCGTCACGCTTTTAAATTTAGGGATTGGGTAGAGGAAGATTGAGTGGGCGCTCAGCTACTGTCACCCTAGCACTTAGATGTGTAAGTGGACTTGTAGTTGAAGTTACTATTAATAACAGTCCTGTAGTTAAAGTTACCATTAACATTACTTCAATACAAGTGCTGAAATAAAGTAGAAAAGTAGGCTGTGAGATTTCAGTGTAATGATATATATAAACAAATCTAATTTAGAGAACCAATAAAAAATAATCAATCTTAACTGCGTGCAGAATACCACTTGGGCGTTGGAAGTTGATTTCAACTACGCATTTCGTTCAATTATGTCGGTGTTTATTGACCTTAATTACTTATTAAATTGGTTTACTACAATTCACGCTTTCGGACCGGAAGTCGCATTACTGGAACGTTCTTGGTGCAGTGTTGAAACATTTTAATCTTCTGGAAGCTCCTCGTTGTATTAAAATTCGAGGCGGGAACTAGGCTAATGTCTTCTTTGCCTCCAGAATGCACATTCTTGTTTGCTTGTAAGGCCATTACGAGGCAATGTAGAGCTAGGAAAGAACGGAGAGAGGAAGAGAAAGAGAGAGAGAGAGAGAGAGAGAGAGAGAGAGAGAGAGAGAGAGAGAGAGAGAGAGAGAGAGAGAGAGAGAGAGAGAGAGAGAGAGAGAGAGAGCTAGTGCACTCGGTTCACAACTGATTGAACCCCAACTTCGATTCCCAGGAAGGAGGAACCTTTTGGGCACTTTTCCTTACATCTGATGCTTGTGTTCATCTAGCAGTACATAAGTAGCCAGGAGGTAGAGAAGGTCGTGGATCGCAGCAGGATCAGGTCAGTACGCCTAGAGGAATCTCGATAAGCCTAACAGTCTCCCTGTCCCAGACAATTGAAGGTCATTTTACCCTGGTCGTCTACGTCATAATCGTCTTCGGCTCAGTTAATGAACACCTCACACAATAGGCCTAATTACCTTAGCAATCACAATAAAAATGAAGGAATCTCTCAGAAATATCCAGCCCCCATCATTAGAGTCACTGAACACTGAAATTTACTCCGAAAGTTTTCCAACTAAATTTACATCTCTTAATTGAAAGCCTTGAAACTCCATTACACTAATTAGGAGAAATGGCAATTATCATTAGTACATCGTACAGTTGTTTTTCAGTCACCACACTTGTTACATGGGGGTCTGCGGACTGTGTTGTTCATGTGTGGTGACTGTAGCAGTGTTGGGCTGTGTGTGGTGACTGTAGCAGTGTTGGGCTGTGTGGTGATTGTATCCACATCTCTTACTCGGAGATGGGGATACAGTCCAACATCTTGTAATAAATGGTTATAACACAACACGATATACAGTTAAATTCAAATTGTTCGTCATTTTCAAAGAGAAATATACAGATAACTGTACAGAAAAGTACATTTCTATCACGTAATAATATATGGAGAGTTGAAGTGATAATAAATATCAATATAGTATACAAGTGATAAGAACCGTATCTTTATTGCAATGGTTTTTAAAGCTTTCAAATTATCAGGATATGCTAATTCAGTCAGGTAACTTCCACACTTAATTTCAACTCTAACTGCTGTTTTCGATTTGTAAACAGTAGTGGTACTGGTGGTGGTGGTGGTAGTTTAATTGACCTATGAGTACTTACATACAGGTGCCTTCATAGGAGTGAGATTTAGCTCATCATACCCAGCCACTTAGCTATTTGCGATTAATGTACATTTCCCCTTTCCTGAAGTTTGTCCATCAGTAAGGCCAACACTCCACCAAGATGGGGCTCTCCTGGAGGGCTGGCGGTCCCCTCAGCCCTCCCGCACACCAGCCAGCTCCGCACACACACAAAACGCGCAATAATCAAAACCAATTTGGTATTGTTGGTGGAATGTATTGTCAAGGGAATATAAAGTATGGGATATTGGCGAGAATGTGAGAAAATGGGAGAAAGCATTGACGCCAACAGGTCAACGTACGCTTCTTAGTGTACAGTATACCACATAAGCGAGCGTAGAGTTTTAGTTTAGTTCATTTATTATGCACTTTATACCCATCTTGTGGGAGGTAGTGGAAAGTGCTACAGAGGCACATTATAGGCTCAGAGACTGAACCCCACAATTCATTTAGCTAAACACGTTACAGTCTTGATGAGCTAGTTACAAAATTCAGTATAAGTCGTCACATCAACAAAGGGTTCGAGATCGACCACAAGTACAGTTTCTAAACTAAGCAACTGACACATGCGGAGAGCTAGTGTAGAGTTAAGCCAACTTTCGAGGAAATGGCCACATCGACCAGAGAGCTGTGGCGTGTGTGTGGTGTGGTGGACTCTCCTAGTTGTGCTTGCGGGGGGTTGTGCTCTGGCTCTTTGGCTCCGCCTCTCAACTGTCAATCAATTTTTTTCACACACACAACCCCAGGAAACAGCCCGTAGCAGCTATCTAACTACCAGGTAAATATTTACTGCTAGGTGAACAAGGGAATCAGGGTGAAAGAAACTGTCCGTTTGAAACCTGTTATATGAAGAAAGATTGACAAAGTTTAAAGTACATTTTCTAGACAGCGGAGAACTATGGGTGACATGATAGAGGTGTGTAAGTGGATGAATGAGCATAACAAAGCGCATATTAATAAGGTATTAAAAGTATCAACACAAGACAGAAAACAAAACAATAGATATAAATTGAATAAGTTTAGATTTAGGAAAGACCTGGGTAAATACTGGTTCGGTAACAAGGTTGTTGATTTTTTTTAACCAATTACCGCATAACGTGGTGGAGGTGGGGCCCCTCGATTGTTTCAAGCGTGGGTTGGACATGTATATGAGTGGGATTGGGTGGTTATAGATAGGAGCTGCCTCGTATGGACTAATAGGCCTTCCGCAGTTACCTTTATGCTTATGTTTGTTTCCAGCGCCGCCGGAGATTGAACCTGGGCCCTTAGGACTACGAATACCGAACGCTGTCCACTCAGCCGACAGGCCCTCTGGGTTTTTTTGTGTGTGTGTGTGTGTGTGTGTGTTATATCATTATCAGGGCGAGGAAGGCTCTTAGGTTACTGAGGTTGGCCAAAGCCAAGAACAGAGATGTACAGCCAGATGTGTTCTCAAACTTTCACGGTGTATATACACCGTAAATTGACTTAACCATTCTGGTTGGGCAGTAAACTGTGGTGGTGGTGGCTGTAGTGACCAGAGGCCTGGTCGAGGACCGGGCCGCGGGGACGCTAAGCCCCGAAACCATCTCAAGGTAACCCTTGTGCCCTTGATAGTGTTCAGCCCAACACTAAACACAACCAGTATGGCCTTCTCGCTCGGTCACCAGTCTTACCCGCACCCAAAGACGTTTATCATATCTGACCGAGTGACGTGCACGCAGCCTACTGCGCCACGCAATGTATAGCAGTAGTAGAAATATATATAAATAATAACTACAATTTAATAGGCAGCTAATAAAGACATAGACTGACTAATAAAATAAAGTTATATAATCAATATAACCTATAATTTAAGAAGTGACAGCACAATCACATCACCATGATTGTGAGAGTGGCTGGAGGGATGGTTTATCACACCAGGCCCGAGGTTATACAATAGGTGACCGTCCCTATGGGTCGGTGAGGGGACCGTCTCCCTCCATCATCTACTCCTATAGGAGAAAATGTTATACAGTATATAGTTACTTCAGTCAGAGACATGCAATGTAAAAAAACAAGGTTACCCCATACACATCCTGTGTATAGTACACACCTTTCCTTATTATACGGATATTTTTACTTAGTAATGAAGAAGAGCCTCGATATAAGCCTAACGTGCATGAAAACACTCTGGCTTCCTGTCCCCAAATACAATGAGTTATATGTGTGCCAAATGTATTCATCATAACATGTTAAGCTCCTTGCGATCTATAACACTGTAAATAAGTTTTCCTATTACCGCGTAAATAGCAATATTATTATCTTTCATAGATTCTTACAGTTAGTAAGAGAATGTTGCTTATAAATATTAATTATTGATTATATCCCGTGAGTAGACGTGGCACCACTGTACATTCTCGCCTGAGTCCCTTGTTGTGTTATCATCAGAGGTTAGACGTCAGTCTTAGTGGTGGTGTCTTAGTGCTGTGTGGCCTCTTCTAGTGTCCCGCCATGACCACCCTGGCTACCCTCCTCCTCCTCACACTGGCCGGGACGTGCTATGGTAAGATCTTGCACCAGGGAACACCGTAGCAGTTAGTGATTTCACTTGAGTTGGGTTGAATGTTTGTGTCCAGTCAGCTGATGGCCGCGCGTGTCACCATGATCAGCTGTTATATAATAATAATAAATTATTTATTAAAGAATATGCAGAGGATCAGATTAGGGTGGTTACTTAGCTGGTATTGTATTTTTGTATGTTATAAAGTCATTAGTTACTCAGCTGTTTTGGTTTTGTTTTAGACTAAAACCCTTAAACCTCAGGGTCCAGGGCTAATAGACGCGTGTGGACTGATATTATAATAGATTTTTAGCCTAGTAAATTGTGATTGCAAGTAATGGGGTTTTAATTTAAGAATGGTTTTGATAGGAGTGTAGCATTCACATATTTAACTAAAATTATGTACTGACTTGTGACTAGATTAATTAAAGTGTCCTATGTAATGATAGACATAGGTAGGATATGCACTTAGTATTATTGTATGTAATGTATTATTGGTCTCCATGCAGCTTAGTGTCCATTATTTTTAAAACATTCTTAAATTCATGTTTGTTTGGTATAGTCAGCCTGTACTTGGGCATATTTAGGTCCCTCTTGCCTAACTACTGACCTCCTTCATATACACAACACACTGATATTGGGAAATTATATTAAAGTTCATTTATTCTATTTGTTATAAAGATATTTGGCACACAACATGCAGAAGAACAATCCAGTCATGTATATCAGTCACTTCCATGTGTTCATTCTTTTTTTCCTTTGCGTATCCTAGTCCGTGTCTATATCCATGGGGTTTTGGGTCCAGGATGCCATTTGTGTGTCTTTTTAAATTGCATCCCTTATCTCCACCTTGGGTTCGTGTCAAGAGTCCATGAGTGTCCGTGTACACTCGTATAAAATACATAAATCTCCTTTTATAACTTTAAAAATGTTATGCAAGTAGGCTACCATAAAGGAATATTGTAAACTTTGTCATTTGTTCTTGCCTTAGTAATAAACCGTACAAATGATTCATACTTTTTTGTAAAAATATACTTATACTCATGACTAGTTTTGCATCGATATGTATAGAAGTAGGGACAAGTAGGAGCTGCATCAATTTATGTAATATATTTAATGGTTGCATCTTCTCTCTTTTCTTCTCGTCGGTATGTTTTATAATTACTATGCTACTTTTTCAAAAACCTGCATAAAATTATAGAATGGAATAGAATTTGTCACTTACCTACATTTATCATAATGCCAATAAAAGTGTCTATTTATTATAAGAAATTATTACACTTCTCTATGAAAGAGCAGGCTTTCTGTGACATCATGTTGTCCCTTGCATAGAAGAAAACATATTCCTTCTTTTAGGTATGGAAAATAAAGGATATAGGGTCTGATAATTTATTTCTGTTAATTTAGGTTAGTCAGAGCTGGAATATTTTAAGGTGCAACATGTTAAATTAACATTAAGTTAGTGCTGGTAAAATTGATCTGATGTCAGATCAACATCAGTAACATTGGCCCAGTTTGATAAAATAACCAGTAATTACAAGTGACGGCTTTTAAATGAAATGTATCATGAATGCTAACCGAGTATACCTCTTGGAGAAAGTTGGGCAAGGCTTGGCCCCCCTGTGAATTGATTCCCATAATTCACAATAAAGCCTGTTCTCTAGGAAATTACTGCCTCACCTTTAGACAGGGGAGAAGGTAAATTCCAGTTAAAGCTTGCACTATTAATTCATTAATGAATCTCCAAGTAACATCAAGGTCCTCTACCACATCCTACATTACGTTAAATCTGACTCCACATAGGCAAGAAACGAGATGTACATAGGAAGATAGTGGTAGGCCTACGATCCCTCAAGGGGCAGCACAAACTTAACCTAAGACATTAACATAGGTGCTCCACTTGCTGAAGTGTCTGGGTTCCATCTTGCAGAATCCACATTTTCCAGGAAAGGTAACACACACACACACGCATACATGTACGTACGTAACCAGAATAGGATGGTAGTTCAGGGGCTCGGGTACTTAACATTAGGGAGACTTGACTAGAGAAAAAGACTTCGCCAGCCAAACCTGGCCATCACAACATCCCGTAGCAAAAAGCCTACCAAAAACACACCATACCTTGGTGCTGGCTTGGTAAACTGATTGTGCTCTCAACACTGTTACCCAAACCTCCAATAAAATCCTTAATTACCACCATTCCATCCTTTGTATAAATGTAACATCTTAGCTTTACAAGGTAGTAGACCAGGCATGTCAAACTGAGGGTCCCCCGAGGCTACATGGGTCACTTTTGTGTTATCATGAGGGCCACACACAACTAATTGAATTCATTTAATAAATATTATTGCAGGATATTTTTATTGGTTAAACTTAGAAACTTATGTTGACCAGACCACACACTAGAAGGTGAAGGGACGACGACATTTCGGTCCGTCCTGGACCATTCCCAATCGACTTGAGAATGGTCCAGGATGGACCGAAACGTCGTCGCCCCTTCACCTTCTAGTGTGTGGTCTGGTCAACATATTTAAGCCACGTTATTGTGACTCATCGTCTGCACTTAGAAACTTACAATGTGCATAAAATGGTTTAGCAGCTAGCCACATTCATGAATACAAAGTAATGAAGTACAGTACTGTAGTTTAAGAAAAGAAAAAAGGAAATTTTAAACGGCAACATAGACTTCTATGCAACAAATACATTGTACAAAAATTACAATCTTTCAAAATGAACATTTATTTACGACTACTCAATCATTTTTAGTGTTTTGTCCTGAGGCCTTGATACACTGTACCTCTTTTTTAATGAAAATTTTTGCTATATCTGGCTGATATGTCTGTGCAGTTCTCGGTTTCTTTTTTCTCTTAGCTGGAGGAGCACTAGTCATTTTAAAGATGATGTGGAATCTGAAAAAATAACAAAATAAAATAAAATAAAAATAAAATCACCAGTTAAAAAACCTGAAACAAAATTACACCAGCTTAACAGTTAATGTCACATCTATTTTTAGAAGTCTTAACTTGCTTACCTCACAGCTGCATTCATATTTCTTTTGTGCTTTTGAATGTTATTAAAAGGTGATGATTTAAATTATAAAAATGGCAATTTTGGTCATTAAATGACCAAATTACAGTACCCATATTACAGTACCCATTGTGCGGGCTGCAGGTGTGCTTGCAAAGGGCCACATACCTGACATACCTGTAGTAGACAACATATCAACATAGTGTATCTAAACTAAATAGGAGTGCCAAATACTCTTATGCTTGACGGAGACAAAAATGCCCCCATTTGATTCATAGTAACTGCATACATTTAACCTTAAAGATACAAACTTTCTTCCTGATCAAAACATATATAACCCTGTAAATTCTCCTAATTATAATCTAATACAATTCAGGACCTATCACATTAAACAGGAAATCAAAATAAAGGTTCACATTTCTCAAGGTAAACAAACATGTATACCACACTCCATAAGGTCATAGAATCTATAGTCAACAAATGGAGCTATGATACTAACAATAGTAAAACAGTTGATCTTGCTTTAATGCTGACTGTGGGTTCTCTTGTGGTGGTTTTGAGAGCTTTCTACTCTCGTAAGGTCAGGCTTTCCTGCTGACTGATCAGCAAGGCCATGTTTGCTACCAAGTGTGGTTAGTCTGTTTGGGATTGGCAGGTGTTGTACTGATTTTTGTATACAGTAATATATTATTTATTTATTTATTTATTTATTTATATACAAAAAGGTACATTGGGATTGTGAGGATACATAGCATAGTAATTACATTCTTGTAAATCCACTAGTACGTGCAGCGTTTCGGGCAGCCTTTTATAATAGTATAGGACATCTACAGAATACCTCTTAATGAAGCTTTGAATCTCAACATTTTCCCTATGTACAAAATTTATGATTAATTACCTTAAATTTCATTTAAACTTAATTCAATATACTGTTACATGCACTACATATATCTGCATATTGAATATTTGCTTACTGGGTATTTTAAATCAAATGAGGTTATTTATATAATATTTTGTGTGTAAATAATGCTGTGATGTGAAGCTGTTAAAGCTTCAAAAGGACTTTGTATTTTGCAGTGTTTTCATTGGGTTGCGAGTTACTGCACTTCTCTTAATACTGTAAAGGCACAAAATATCACAGTTTTCTGGTGATGACTGCTGCACCCCAGACTAGGGTGAAATAGGGACTATGGTGATTAAACGGTTTTGTTTCTTGGCTAATTTACAAATACTGTCGATGAGAATCTATTTATAATAGAGAATAAAAGTTAATGAATAAAGAGATTTATGAGCTTAATTAAGAAATTAATAAAGCTGGCAATGTTAACATGCCAGCTTGAATTACTGAATTTCATTAAATGGCTCGATTCCATTTTGGTGAGCCATTTAGAAAGCTTGTAAGATGGCCTCTATGGCCCCTGTCAAAACTCTTAAGCCTAACTATTCCATGAGGCCTATTATCAGTTCTGTGAGATCCATTTCTTATAAGCTTTCTAAATGGCTCACCAAAATCATGTCCCCATTGTTAGGAACTATTTCCTCTTCTCATTTGACCAATTCTATTGAATTAACAAATTGAATATTGTTCCAATCAATCCTGATGCTGAGTTAATCAGTTTTGACATTTGTTCTTTGTTTACAAAGGTGCTGGTTGATGATGATCTTGATTACCATGGTCATGAATTTATGAACCATGTATCTGTCTGCTGATATTGTCACTCATTAAGCTGCATATCAAACAATGTCAATTTATTTTTAATAATGAGTATTATTTACAGACTTTTGGAATGGCAATGGGGGAATCCTTTATCGTCATTGCTTTCAAACTTGTACGTGGAATTCTTTGAAAAGAAATTTGTTTAAAAAATTACCTCTGGAATCATTCCATGGTTTAGATATGTTGATGATATTTTGTGTATATGGCCTTGAGTGTACTGAGTACTTGAGTGTACTATTTGTGCCTGCAGGATCAAGCATTGACTCTTGGATCCCACCTTTTTAGCCATTGTGTGTGTGTGGTGTGTTTTTGTGTTTGTAAATGTTATGTTTCTTGTATCAGGTTCTTAATATTATAAATGAAATTGTTCTAAATTATATTACAGTATAACTTATGTTAAATAATTAATTGTGCTTGCTTTCCAGGGGCCGGCGGTGGCGGAGTGGCGAGCGCAAGCAGTAGTGGAGGTAGGTTCACAGTGAAGGGGGAAAGCGTCACCTATTCTGGCCAGCACTTTGTTGCAGAGGGGGAAAAGTTCACCATTTCTTGCATCCTTCACATTAATGACTATCTGCAGTGGACTATCAATAACAGACCAGTTATTCCCGGGGAGGCAGGGTAAGGGATCTGTGCAGCTTGTCTACTGTAGATGTGTTGCTCCTATTAGTAGATGTGGTAATATCTTGCACCTGGCTACAAAATAGTGGCCGTGAAATATATAATGAAGTATGTGAAAATCTTAAGAATTAAGAATTTTCCTCTAGATTGTATGGTTAAGGAGAGTGAGAGCATGTACACTGAACTTGTATGTACATGTAGCATAAAATGACCTTCATTTTGGTCAGAGGTCAGAGGGATGGTTTTTGTAAAGTCAAGTACTAATTATGAATTTTCAATTTCACTAAATATTTAAATTACAGGTTAAATTAAATTTTAAGATTTTTATGAAAATACTAAGTTGTTCATAATATCAGATATACTATGATAGAAGGCCCAGGACGACAAGGATATATTATGAGTCGCGTAACTGTGATGAGAGCTCATGCCTTCCATGCTGGGGAGTACAAGTGCACTCCCCACAGCAGTGAATCACACTCATTGTTTATTATTTCTGGTAAGATAGTAGGGAGATGGCTGGATAGTAGGTAGATTGCTGGAAGCAAGCATCAATTACTATATTCAGTATTTCGGTGATATTTGCTTTATATTTACGGTATGAGAAACTGTATTTTAGTGAAAGATAGTTGTACTTGATGTATCTGTTGTTCCCTATAGTTATGGTCTTGTACTGTGATAAACAGTGCTTTATTGTACAGTATATGAAAATGATGCCTTCAGTAGCATATACTTCTTTATAGTTTTCTGATTTCCTTGGCATACTGTAATATTACAAGCAAGCATTTGATGTATTTTAATGATACATGATTAGAAGTCGCCAGTAAAACAGTATTTAATGCTGTCTCAGATTTTCTTGCCTTTTCTTAGTGGTACCACTCGGATTCTCTTTCTTTTCTTTTTTTCTTTTTTTTTTTAAATCCTATTTCTATGGACAGGATTATGTAGCCAAGGCATATTCAACACTGGTGCAGGAGGGATAATTTCCTTTCTTATTAATTCATACTGGTGTAAGGAAAACACTGACAAATACTCAATCCAGTCTGGAATGACCTTTAGAAGGCTCATTCAACTACACTAAATGCACATCAAAATGGTACCTGATATCAGAGACTGCCAAGGAGTGATCTCGCTAATCTGATCTCGTTTACCCATCTGCCACTAGGCAGTAGGGGGGGGGGGGGGCAACAACTGGGAAGAGTTTCCAATCTCTTCCTACCTCACACTCCTGACTGTTTCAATAGTCATTTCAGTCTGACCAAGACAAAAATGTTTTAGTCGACCTGTGTTCTATCCTTAGGAACTAGTTTCATTTTCCAGTGGGTGCATCTTGTATTCCTGTATACACAGTTGTTGCCTGTATCTAGACTCTGAAGCTGACCTGGTTTCCTGGGTGCTATTTACTGCTCTGGTTCAGTTAGTATCTCGGCCGTGAATACAATATTTTGTTTTTTTTCACTACTGCGTTTTTGTAGTTCCATTTTACTTTACTTTGTCCTGGGATATAAGCATTTGTGCAGGACATGCACACTGAGGTCACTTTTGGTTACCATGTCACCTTAATGTGGTCATGTTATTTGTGCTGTTTACTCGGGTCACACTTGACTTGTGACCCTGACTGCATTGACTTAAATCTGTTGGTTTCAGTCATGGGCTGCCTTCACCCCATACTCATATTTTAGGTTGGATAGACTTGTGTTATGGTATACTTTAGAGCACTCTGGAATCATGTCAAACAACACCTCAATAGTGGCTACACACTGAACATTGTGAATGACCTATGCTAATCTTTGGGTTTACCATATTATTAGTGTTAAATGGACTCCCAAATGCTGAATGTTCATATATTATATGCATATGCATCTTTGCACATCTTTAAACAGTCTTTATTCATTTTGAATTTGCATCTAAAAAGTGAAGGTAGTGTGAAATACTAACAGTAAAATAGGTGTTGAGTAAAGAGTGAAAAAAATACTTTAGATTGTATGAAACCTAACCCAAGCTTATGCACGTACTGTCCTGTTAAGTTTGTTTTACGTTACCTTTGTCAACACCACCTTGCTCTTCATATGGTTTTCTAATGTCTGGAATAAGAAGCCTGTTTGACTTGTCCAGGCCCCCCCCCTACCCCAAGGCCAACATCTAACCTTCCCAATGATGCAACCCACAACAGTTGCCTAACAACTGGTTAGCTATTTACTACTAGGTGATCAGAAGCATAAAGTGTAAGGAAATGTTCCCAAACTTCATCCTTTCTGGGGGGAAAAAAAAGAGTAAAATATGATTTAAAATTTGAACATTATAATACTGTTGCTTTGTATGAGGTACAGTAGATGTCTAATGTATACTTTTACTACATTATTGCTTAAATGTGCTAGGCATTGTATGCATTACTTTTCTATCTTCTATAGTCATTACTGTAACTGCTCATAATGCATTTGTTGTTACAGATTTAGTAGCTCTTAAGCAGTGCATTTGTATGTTTTCAAAATATGTATGTTGGTATGTTTTCAAAATTTTATTATTTTATTTCAATTACAATACTGATATCTGTAATGCTTACATAATGTTATTAAATCAAAAAGCATGGAAAAGAATGTTTTAAAAAAATTATAATTAAATTTTATCCACAGTTTTAACAATAGTTTTTATTATACATTGACTGTTTTATCCTGCAAGGCTGTAATTATATAGACCAAATGCTTTGTATATTGAAAATATACACACATGCACACAAATATATTTATCTTATAAGTCAACTATATTATATCATACAGCAAAACATTTTTTCCCGCAGCGAGCTCACTCACAGAAACCGAAGGAACTCGTCGTCTTGTGGAGGGTAAACCATTGTCGTTGTCCTGTGACTACAATGCAACAGAACTTCATGCTACATGGTATTTATTTACCATATTTACATACATACTGTACATGCATATATACATACACACATATATGTTTGCAAGAAGGCACAATGGGTTGTAAGAAGTATACATTTTAGTTTAATCACAAAAATATGTACTTTTACATTATTGCAAAGCCACTAGTGTGCATAGCATTTTGGGCAGTAGAAATATTCGCTAATATTAAGAACGGGCTACTAGACTTTACTAGTTACCCCTAAGAGTGTTCTTGTATCAAATTCCTAGTTAAGTAAAATTCAATTGCCTAAGTATTACTTGTATATTTTTCCAGAGGAGCCTCTTGGTGACTTCCTGAAGCTAGCTTACTGAGATGCCTTTCCTCCTTATGAGTGCTGCTGCTCGTGTTTAGCATTTGGGGTCAATGTCTCTTTGATGCTGTTTTGTAAGTTGTCTTGGCTTTCTTTTGCCTACGGCCTGCTCATGCTCCTCTTGAGCTATGCTGGTCTTTCTCTAAGGTTTAAATGTTTCTTTCCTCCCACTCCCCACCCCACTGTTTCATGGTCTTGGATACTTTTCTTAAGGTCCCATTTTTGTTGGCTCTTGCCTCCTGTTGTCGGGTGGGGAAGCTTCATGCTCTCCTCCATAGGCTTGGACTGTTCTTTCATCCCTGGTGAGTACAGTATTTTGTTCATTTGCAATCTTCTTTTCTGGTGAAGAATGATGTAGTTGGCTTCTGGAGGGTCTATTGTTGATTGGTGCTTGGTTTACCTGGCTGGGGATACATCATTTGTTGTATTCAGCTGCAGTGGTTCAACACTATCTATATGCCACCTACTCTGCTTCAGTGGACACCATTTTTTGGTCGTTACCTTGGTTTCCTGTTCCAAAGTATGTTTATTCTTGGTTGTGTGCAGTGTCATTTAATCTAGTCTGTCTCTCTCCTTGAGCCCATGAAGTTCACAAGTTTGTGGCTTTGCTTGCAATGTTCGGTAAGTTGTTGTGGGGCTTGATATTTAGGCTTGAGGTTTTAGTCTTACAGGTTATAGTGGCTTGTTATCTGGTCAATGATCCTTGTCCCAGTCATGCTTGTACTGCCTGGGGTCAGGTTACCCATCCCAGCATCTCGTCTTTGTGAGTGTAGTTGCCGCTCTCCTTCTTCCTGGTAAATACCATGTTTACCGTCTTCTCTTTTAGATAGCTTCTGGTAGCCACCTAGAAAATGTTAGATATGATGAGATGCCTCTTTCTAGCATTTCTTAGTGGATCCCCGATTCCTTCCCCTACCAGGTGTGTTAGTGTGGCTTATTGGCTCCAGACTGACTCATTGATGGTGTGGGTGCCTGGAGCTCTCATGGCTGTGCCACCTGTTGGTGGGGCTATTTCATTGCTTTGTTTTCTGTGAACCTTGCAGTTGTTTATTGCTTCACTTCCTAGATGCTTTCTCAGTGAGGATGATCATAATGACTTCCTGCTCCCTCTGCCTTTACAAGATCAGATTCTGGTCCCTGGTAAGCCATACAGGACTCCTGTGGCTGATGTGACTCATTAGTGGGAGGCCATCTTAGCGAGATAGCTTCAAGGAGCCACCAAAGCTTTACCAAAAAAAATAATTTCATTACTTTCAACTCGGTTTTTTAAATGAACACTTCAACATCAGTACTACATTAAGTGCTTTAATTTTGTGCTATAATCTTCTACAAGGAGAACTCTTCTGCCCATAACATCCTGTCACATCTGGTGACTTTATTTTGTTAGCTATTAAACATGAAGCTAGTGAAATTATGGGCAGTTATGAATTTTTTTTTTGTTTGTAAATATGTAATGTTCAGTGTTGTTCAAAACTATAAGTAATATGGTTTTTATATGGCTCTTGTGAGCGTCCTGCAAAATTTGACTTTCTGACCAGAGTAATTAGAAATGTATTTTAGGGCTTTCTATGCTTACATTTTAATGTTCCCTTTGTCATCTTATCCAACTTAGTCCTTTACTGTAGCATCCTCCAGATAACATGGGTTAGTTTACTCTGGAGACATGCTTTATCAAGTTTATATGTACCCATTTCAGTAGTACCTCATGAACTCTATCTGAACACAGATTCAAAGATGTTTTGTAAAGTGAAAGGGCCATAAGTATTCCTGAATAAGTAATTTGTTATTATTTCTCCTTTAAGTATGGCTTTCTTTAAGTCTATTATATTGCCCTCTCATACTGATTATTATGCCTCTCTTAATGACACAATTTTTACACAGGATGAAGGATGGAAAAGAGGTGCTTGATGGTGATCACATCAAGCTGTACACAAACACTACTTTATACATTGCTTCTGCCACAAAACAAGACCTGGGAAACTACACATGCACAGTTCCTGGGGACCAAGAGCCCAGAGTCATCAATGTTGTTGGTAAAACTTGCTCATTGTTATTTTTTGTTCATTAGACTTAGTTTTCTACTTCCACTGGGTATACAGGCATCAGCCCAGAGTTAAATTGGGGAATAATTTCATGAGGGAAGATTATAAATAAATTATAAACAAAAAGCACAAGAAAACTAATATTCTATTATTTTGTTGTCATCCACACTATATAGCTAAACTTTCTAAACTAGCACTATAATGTTAAACATTGCCAGACTCCAGCATTCATCTACAACACCACTGCACCATTTCACAAGATCAGATGCACATTACTTTGTGAATTGTCATATATTTATTTGTACTGTACCTTTATATTTACTACCTGTTGACCAAACACTTCTCTGCTCCTGATAATTTGTAGTTAATTACTCATGATCAAACACACATTATAAAACCTTTTTTTTTTACTTTCTACTGATCTTTTAACCAATAATTAAATATGTATGTATACTGTCTGTCTTATTACGGATTCCAAAAACTACCTGAGGCCGATCAAAATTTATGCAGACCTTTCACCGCAACCTTGAAAAGTTGTAGTGATTCTTCAAGATGTCCAATTTGAGTTAAAGTTTCTGTTCCTTGGGTCTCTTTTTTTTTATTTTAGACAATTTATTAAACCAGTTTAAACCCTGGAAGTTATCATATAGCCAATGACTTTCCTGCCAGTCTCTTAACTCAAGTGAATGCTTGAGCAATTGATCAGAAGTTGGGTGTTCTTCTCTAAGTAAGTCCTATCTAATAAGTTGTCTGATATGCATCCATGTTTATAGCTTTTAACCATTTGGCCATTACCACCATTTGATAATTAAATGTTGTACAGGCATTTACCTCTATTAACATGGTGAATGTTCACAGAGCAATCACTAATGTGATGTATCGATGAGAAAATCCGTAGGAGCCATGATGAGGATTTAAACCTAAGCACTGGGTGTTCCCAAGCGCATGCCCCAGACAACTAGGCCATATAGTCAAAAGGATTGCAACTTGGGGTTCTACTGAACCCTTGAGGTTCCTGAGGCTTCCACTGAAGCTGAACCAGGGTTTCACACAATCCCCCCATGCAGTCTGGCTCTGTCTAGGAATGTTCTACCTCAGACACGCCTCTTTCAATACACAGAGTAATCACACTCACGTGATGTATCATTGATTAATCACGTTAGTGATTGCTTCCTGTGATAGTGATATTGCTCTTTGTATTGAAAGAGGAGTGTCAGAGGTAGAAAAGTGCTAGACAACGGAGCCAGAGTGCATTGGGGGATTGTGTGAAACGCTGGTTCTGCTTCAGTGAAAGCCTCGGGAATCCTCGAGGGTTCAGTAAAACCCCAGATTGCAATCCCTTTGACCATATGGTCTGGTTGTTTGGGGCGTGCGCCTGGGAATGCCCAGTGCATAGGGTCGAATCCTCGTTACAGATCCTATGGATTTTCTCATGATGAATGATCTTTTTAATAAGGAGAAGAGGTGCATTGGAAACTTGGATAATTTTTGTATTTGCCATACGGTAGTGCTGCTGTGGCTTACTAAGTGTCAACTAGCTAGTTTTACTATCTTGTGTGTATATTGTTAATATATATAACTTTTTTCTAACAATTTTATTTTAAGACTGATTTAATGTAGTTTGTGTGTCCTTTTTCAGAAATCTCTCTTCATAAACACTTGCCCAAGTCCACAACGGTGTTAGAGAACGACAAGCTCTCTCTCACGTGCTTGGTGGAAGGTGATCCTTTTCCAGTTGTTCAGTGGCTCAAAGGTAAGTCCTTAACCCTTACACTACTATTACCATCTGGAATTTTTTCCCCCATTTGATTTAACTTTTTTCAACATGCACACCTCGATGTAGTACTCCTAAATAGCTGCAACATTTAGGATTTACTGTTTTTCATTTACGTGATGCTAGTGATTGTTGCATATAAATGAGAATATTTGCAGATCTAGTTATAGATATTAATAGGAAGTTTTTGTAACTGAATTTTTTTTTTATTGCAATATAATTTTGGCAGGAAAATTGTTTTTATTGTGAGCTGTATTTATGGTTCATAAAATACAGCACCAGTACATGTAGAATCTTATGAAGAGGAAAATATTGGTACATATTTAAATTGAGATTTAGATAATAAATGCTTTAAAATTTGAGTGTGTTTATAGTCTTCAGTTTGACGAATACTGTACAGCATCTTAATGTAACCTTTTGCCAGATGGGGAACCAATTCAAGACACCATCAATTCTTCAAGAATGGTATTATCAGAAAATGAGTACCATGTCCCTAATTCTAGTCTGTTAATCAAGCCTATAATGAAATCTGATGATGGTAACTATGTTTGCCTTGTATCCCAGTACTCCATCCAGCTCAACACAACAACAGACGTACGCGTCAAAGGTAAAATGCATCTGCATCATCTCCCATACTATGGTCTTGATTGTCTTCACTGTTTTCACTCTCTTCAGCTGCTATATTTAATGTTTTCTGAATACAGTGAGCTACTAACCTATTGAAAATATATTTTAATTACTTTCCTTACACCTGTATCTCTACTTTCTATCGGTTACACACTTGCATTACTTTTCCTTTTACAATGCATTATTATATACTCAATTATGCACTGCTGTACAGTAATCCAAGAATTAACAAAAATCCTTATCCAGTTTTGATAAACTTTTTAGCAGAGATGTGATGAATAATTGAGTGCAACTGTAAGAGAACAGAATTAGTATGGAACATTTTGCAGTGTCAACAATGAGAGCAAATTTAGTGATAAAATTATGTTATTTCATTATATATGGTATGAGACTATCAATTTGTTGCAGGAGAAATAAAAAAAATACTTGCATTATGGCTGATTTTTTCCCATTTCATATTTGAATTGCCCTTTCTTCAAAAAACAAAATTTTCCTAACCACCAGTTCTTGTATTCATATTAATTACTGCCCTCCCCAGATATTTATGCTGCTCTGTGGCCTTTCCTTGGCATTGTAGCCGAGGTTCTGGTACTGTGTACAATTATCTTCATCTACGAGAAGCGTCGCATAAAGCCCAACTTTGACGACTCTGACACGGACCACATCTCGGAACAGTAAGCATGTTTTGTGTGGAGGAAACTTCGCGCAAATTTTATTCTAGCCTGTTAAACTATGCTGCATGAATATAGATGTTTTTTTAAGCTTATGATATAAGAGTAGCAAAATATTAGGCTTATGTAAGTAATGTATATGAGACATTAGGCATAATTCTTTGGTGATTAGCTAGGCTTTCCACTTTGCATCTGATAATTAGAATTAAATGTCAGGTTTTTGGAAGCAAAATTTTTGTTTCCATTATGTGGATTGTTAAAATTTTTATTTTCTATTAAATGTACAGCAATTACTGAAGTGTGAAATGTAAAAGTTTGTAAGCTTTATGATTGAGGAGATAGTATGGAGATAGCTTTGTCATATTTCGACAAATTGATGATAGAATGGTAATTTGAGAGTAGGAGAAGTGGAAGACAAAGACGTTGATGGGTAGAAATCATGAGTTCAGTATACGATGAAGCGGGAATTGAGCATGAAAAGCATTTTGAGAAATGGTTGAGAATGATTGCTAATGAAGACAAATTTTAGAGGGCAAATCACAGAAGGCAGTGCACTACATCTATTTCAATTTGAAATTGAGATAGGATGTATTGATGATGATAAACATGTAATCTTTATTCTCTAATATAACTGATATGGAATAATTAATACCTTTTCTGGGGGGAGCCCCGTCGGCTCCCCGGAGCTATCCCAGGCTGATATGCTAATGTCAGACTTTGGCATCAGTCATGTGTATGGAGTTCTTAGGCCTACCGGGGACCACGGCCAGAACCGGGCCCCCTCAGAGAGGCAAGGGGAGCAATGGCCTATAGAAGCCCCCGTGTAGTTGGAAGCATTCTATGTCTGCCATCGACCGGAACAGGCACCCAGAAAGGTAAGCGCCCCAAAACAAACCCCTATTCTGGTTAAAATTGCTACCTAATACCGAACTAGTGGATAGAACTCCCCAACCGAAAACAAGCAAATTAGTGTGACGTCACACACTGCCGCGCCGCTGTCTGCGCAGCTCCCCCCTCCCCGGGAGGGGGAAGGGGGAGCCCCAGACCCCCCGCGCCGGCTACCCACACCTCAGTTCTTGAGGCTGATGCTATTGGCGGTGGTCGTGTGCTCTGGCTCCGGTGTCGCTACTGCACTGTGCTTTGAGTGTGGTGTTAGTTTTGTGGGTGCGAGAGCCAGGAGTTATCTTCAGTACTCGGGCTGCATGCGCCTAGGGCTGCCTTCCCTAGGTGCCCTGTAAGTACTGCCCTTGGGGCTTGGGGCCACCTTCCACAGGCTCCTCGGGGTCTGCCTCTGCTGGTCCGTTTTACCTTTCGGTTTTTCGGCCGCCTGTTGGGCTCTTGGGTGTTCTGTTCTCCCTTGTTACCGGCAGGTAAGAGGCAGTTTGCACTGGTAGGGGCGCAGGGTGCTGCTCAGCTTGTAATTCCCGACATCGCGGCCGGCTCTGTTCCTTGGGGTTCGCTGTCCTCTTGCGGGGTTTTGTTTTTCTTTTTGTTTTTGCCTGGTGGGGGGTTCTGTCATTTTATTCAGTTTGTTTTTGCCCTTCCACTGTTCTCCTCGGTGGCGCCCCCTGCTAGGTCCCCGTGAGTGTACACGTCCCTGGGGTTCAGCTTTAGAAGTTTGCTTGGTAGTTTTGGGCGCCGGTTTGCAGCACCCTGCCTGGGACTACCTGAGCGCGAGTCCTCTTAAAGTAAACGCTCAGGACCCTGGGAATCCCCTAGGGGGCGCGTGGGTCCGATGGATGTGACCCCGGAGTCCCCACTCGCTGTGTGCGAGTTTGAGGGTTGCTCGGTCCCCTTGTCTCAGGGTGACCCTCATTGTTTTTGCCTCTGCCACGCTGCCTGTTGGGTCGGTGATACTTTCGACCCTGAGTCCTGTGAGTGTTGCTGCTTGCTTGTGACTCAATTTACCCAATCCTCTGATGATTCTCTTCGGGTACAGGCGGCACGTGCGTTGCAGTCTAGGTTTCGTCTGTTGCAACGCGCTCGGTTGGTTGCTTCCCCGGATGCCCCGGGGCTGCCCCGCTTTGCTTTTCGAGACCCGGACTTGGGGGTGGGGGTCGCTTCGATCCTGGTTCAGTCCGCACCTCCTCGTCCTTCCCCTTCTGTTCGTTCTGGTCCCCCGCCCCTGCTTCCGGCCCCGAAGCGTCTGAGGGTTTCGGGGTCGGAGCAGGGGTTACTTGATCTCGAGACTCGGGCAGCTTCGGGGGTTGCCCCTTCCGGGGGGGCGGCAGAGGCATTCGAGTCTTGTCTCCCGGCCGAAGCTTCAGGGTCTGACCAGTGGGCCCCCCTTCCTCCAGCTTTTCCGGCTGCTCCGTCCTTGTCTTGTGGGGTCGGGGCTTGGGGAGAGGACTCGGCCTCGGGTCCTGTGGTGACGGACCTCGAGGCTGGGGAGGGGCTGACTTGGGGGCCTTGGGCCCCGCTGGACCCCGCCTGGGTTTTTCTTCCCACTGAGCGGGGCTTATTGTTACAAGGAGTGGGGTTTTCTTTCCCCCCCTCTGCGTACGAGTTGGATTTGGTGTCGGCCCCTCCCCGGGTACGGTTCCGTGTTCCCCCGGGTACGTCGGTTCCGTCCTTCCGGAGGTTTTCGGCTTATCGCATCCAACCTGGTGTGGTGCGAGCGGCCTTTGCTGCTTACCTCCTGCGTGACCCGGATTATGCCTCGGAAATGGATCCGTCCACGTTCAGGTTTGGGACTTCGTTCCCTTTCTGGCTCCGTTACGAGGTTCCGGAGTCATCCTGGCTAGCAGACTGCCCCTTGTTTGGTCTGGATTCCTGGCATTCCTTCTGTCGTTCCCGCACGCTGGAGTGGCGGGAAGCTTCCACGGTGCTTCAGGTTTTCCTGGGGGGTGAACTTGAGTACCTGCATGAGTGCTTGTTTGCCCCTGCCCTTCCCCGCGATGTGGGCGTTATTCAGCTCCATGTGCAGGTTCCCTCCCTTTCGGCGGCGCTCGTGGCGGAGGACTTGCGCGCTCGGGGCCTTTTGTGTTCGGCCTTGCGGTTCTTTTCCCTCCTGGAGCTGTCTTCGGATTGGCTCGTGGAGGATGTGGGGACGCTTGGGTCCGTCCCGGGGTCCGGCACCTTGTCCTCGGCTGCGCGTTCGTCGGCTGCCTTGTTGAAGCTGTTCACGCCGATTTTGCGGGATGCGGTTTCCCTGTTCTATGCTTCCCGTCTCGTGTGTCGGCAGGCGGTGCTGGGTTCCTCCGTGGAATCTGCTTGGGCTCTGGCTCTTAGGCGTTCTTCACCTTTTTGTCCTCTCCTGTTTGGGGAGTCGGCCGTGGCGCAGTTTATTCAGGCTGCGTCGGCGGCTTGTCGTCCGATGTCGGACTTGTTGGTTTTCCGGGGGTCCCGGGGTGGGTCTTCCCGGAAAGGTCGTGCCAGGGCTCGGGGTTCCTCTCGTCGTGGTAGGCCTCTGGTGTCAGGTTTGGGGTTGGCTCCTCCTGCGGACCCTCCCTCGTCTGGTCGGCGCGGTGTTCGCGCTGTGCGGGGTTCTGGGTCTCGTAAGGGTCGCCGGCCCTTTCGCGGTTTGCCCCTTTGACGGGGCGATGGGGGGGCGGCTTGCGCTGTTCGCCCGCGCCTGGTCCCACGATTCGTGGGCCTTTCGGGTCGTGTCTCGCGGCCTGCGGTGGCGTTGGGTGGCCCCTCCCCCCTTTGGGGGGTCGGGGCTGGCGGGGCAGGCTTCTTCCCCTGCGCTCTGTCGAGTCGTCTTGGAGTGGGTACGCTTGGGCGTCGTCGAAACGACGTCGTCCCTCAGATGGGTTTCCCGTCTGTTTCCGGTTCCGAAACGGGACTGCGCGGACCTGCGGTTCATTCTGGACTTGTCCCGTCTGAACCCCTGGGTTCATTGCCCCTCCTTTCGGATGACTACGCTGTCTCAGGTTCGGCTCCTCTTGGAGCCGGGTGCTTGGATGGTGTCCCTGGACCTCCGGGACGCTTATTGGCATGTCCCGATTCATCCGCGGTTCAGGGACTGGCTCGGTTTTGTAGTGGGGCGTCTGAGTTACCGCTTTCGTTGTCTCCCGTTCGGGTTGAACCTGGCACCTCGCGTGTTCACACGCCTTACACGGGTTGTGGTGGCTCGTTTGCGTCTCCTAGGTGTTCGGGTGTTGGCCTACCTCGACGACTGGCTGGTTTGGGCTCCCAGCCAGTCAGCTTGCTTGCTAGCCAGGGATTTGGTTCTTTCCCAGCTCGCCGGGTTCGGGTTCTTGGTGAACTGGAGGAAGTCCCATCTGGTTCCCTCTCAGGTTCGGACTTGGCTGGGTCTCGTGTGGGACTCTCGGACCGCCTCCTTGTCTCTCCCTCCGGAGTCTCTCCTGCGGCTGCGGTCCCGCCTTCGTCTGTTTCTGGAGGGCCCTCGGGTCACCCGGCGGTTGCTCGAGGGGCTGTGCGGGAGCCTGAACTTCGCGATGGTGGTCTACCCGCCGGGTCGGGTTTGGCTTCGACGGCTGTTCTGGTTCCTTCGGGGTTCCCCCTTCCGCCTCTCTCGCGATCGCAGAGTTCGACCCCCGGGGGACTTGCGTCGGTTGCTGCGTCACCGGCTTCCTCTTCGGGTTTTTCGGGGTTCAGTGCCTTGGCGCCTACCCGAGCCCTCGCTCGATGTGTACACGGATGCGTCGTCTCTCGGCTGGGGTTTTGTGACCAGTGCTCACCAGGCCGGCCAGGGGCGTTGGGATCCGTCCTTCCGTCGAGCTCACAGTACGGTGCGGGAGTTCGCGGCAGTGTGGTTTGCTCTGGGGAGGATTCGGGTGGCCCGCGGATCGACGATTCGGCTCCATTCGGACTGCTCTCCGGTGGTTCATTGCCTGAACCGCGGGGGTTCGATGCGGTCCTTGTCTCTTTGGGGTTGGTCGCTTCGGGTGACTCGTCTGCTGAGTTCTCGGGGTTTGGCTCTCCTGGCGGTTCACGTACGGGGCGTGTCCAACGTCTTGGCCGACGCCCTGTCTCGCTTCGTTCCCCTCTCCACGGAGTGGACGGTCGACGACGAGTCCTTCCGTTGGCTTTGCCAGACGTTCGGGCGCCCCGAGGTGGACCTCTTCGCGTCGGCGTGGTCGCGGCGTCTTCCCGTTTATGCGGCGCCCTTCCCCGATTGCGAGGCCGTCGGGGTCGATGCCTTTCGGCTCGACTGGTCGAGGTGGGGGTTCCTGTACCTCTTTCCCCCAGTTCGGCTGTTGCTCCAGGTCCTGACTCGCTTAGAGACTTACCAGGGGAGAGTTGTCCTTTTGGCCCCTTGGTGGCCGGCCCAGCCTTGGTTTCAGGCGCTGGTTGCTCGGTGTCCGAACCCGAGGGTTTTCCCGCGGCTCCGCCTCTTTCAGCAGATCGGGCCGGTACGTCACGTAGCTGGTTCGATCTTCTCCTCGAGTCTTCGCGTATGGTTTTTTTGACTCGAGTCTATCATCATCTCTATGGTGATCAGGTGGCCTCCTTGTTGGTGTCCCACCTGAGGGCTTCTTCCCGGCGGCAGTATGAAGTTTCCTGGCGGTCCTTCCGTTTCTTTTTGCGTCTTCGTCGTGTTAGCTCCTTGTCTGTTCGGGTGGTCTTGTCCTTCCTCTCGTGGTTGTTTCAGGACCGTCATCTTATGCCTAACACTGTCGCTTCGTATCGTGCGGCGCTGGCGGAGCCGCTTCAGCTTGCTTTCGGTATCGATGTTACGTCTGCGCCGTTTCGCAAGCTGTCTCGTGCATTGTTTCACCTCCGGCCTGCTCATGCGTCGCCTGAGCCGTCCTGGTCTTTGGACAGAGTGCTCGCTTTCCTTTCATCTCCTCGTTTCGTTGTGGCCCCTTCGGTCCAGGATTGTTTTTCCAAGGCACTTTTCTTGTTGGCTTTGGCCTCTGGGGGTCGGGTAGGGGAGCTTCATGCTCTCCTCCGGCGCAGGGGTTTCTGCTCTTTTGGTCGTGGTGATAGTTTTGTTCGTTTGCAGCCGTCTCCTTCTTTTCTGGCGAAGAATGAGACTGCTGCGTTCCGGAGGGGTCCATGGGTGGTTGATGCTTGGTTGGTCAGGCCGGGGGTGCATCATGTTTTGTGTCCGGTTGCGGCGCTTCGCCGTTATTTGCGCGCCACGGCTTCTGTGTCCGGGGACGCGCTGTGGGTTGATCCGGTTTCCCTTCTTCCCTGTTCGCGGGTTCGGGTCTCTCAGGTCGTCCGCAGGGTTATTAGGTCTAGCCAGCCTGCGGTCTATCCCCGTGCCCATGACGTTCGTAAGTTCGCGGCTCTTGCTGCCGTCTTTGGGAATATGTCTTGGTCTGATATTCGGGCGCGGGGATTTTGGCGGTCGAACAGGGTCCTGGCTGCTCGTTACCTTGTGAATGTCCCTGGCCCTCGTCGGGCCTGTGTTGCTTTGGGTCGGCGGTTGCAGCCAGTTGTCTCGGCTTCGAGTTGAGGGGTGAGCGACGACCGCCTCCCGGGTAAGTCCCTCTTTTTCTGTCTGTGGGTAGTTAGCTCCGGGGAGCCGACGGGGCTCCCCCCAGAAAACCAGCGTTGAATGTAATGAAACGCCATTTTCTGGGTGAGTCCCGGAGGCTCCCCGGCATCCCTCCCTCCCTCCGGTCGGCGGTTTTTCGCGTTTTTGACATCCAGCCTCAAGAACTGAGGTGTGGGTAGCCGGCGCGGGGGGTCTGGGGCTCCCCCTTCCCCCTCCCGGGGAGGGGGGAGCTGCGCAGACAGCGGCGCGGCAGTGTGTGACGTCACACTAATTTGCTTGTTTTCGGTTGGGGAGTTCTATCCACTAGTTCGGTATTAGGTAGCAATTTTAACCAGAATAGGGGTTTGTTTTGGGGCGCTTACCTTTCTGGGTGCCTGTTCCGGTCGATGGCAGACATAGAATGCTTCCAACTACACGGGGGCTTCTATAGGCCATTGCTCCCCTTGCCTCTCTGAGGGGGCCCGGTTCTGGCCGTGGTCCCCGGTAGGCCTAAGAACTCCATACACATGACTGATGCCAAAGTCTGACATTAGCATATCAGCCTGGGATAGCTCCGGGGAGCCTCCGGGACTCACCCAGAAAATGGCGTTTCATTACATTCAACGCTGGTTTTTTTAACCTCGACTTACAGGAAAAGCAAAACTGAAAACAACAAGGAGGCTGAAGTTAGACAGAGGAAGTAGAGGTGCATTCAGATGTAAGAAACATGAAGAATTGTGAAGCATACTTTACAAAAAAATCCTTTTGAACAGAAAAAAACCATGAAAATGACAACTCTGGCGTTTAAGATTGATCGTGAGCCATGAGTTGTAACCGTTTCCTTATAGCAACAGGAATGTGTTGGTGTAGAATAGTACAAGTGAGTTTTGCAGGTTTAGTGCTTAAGCATCTGGAAGCACCGCCTCTGAGAACATCCACAAGCAAATTCGACGAGAGAGATGTATAACTATGAGAATATGGTACCAAGGTAAAGTGATTTGTTTATTTTTAGAATAAGAATAACTATTGAAATTTATGTTTATATTAATATATATAATATTAAAGACAAGATTTACAAAATTAAAGACAATTTAAAGTTCTTGTTAAATTCATATACAGACGAGTCATAAAATAAATATACCTAGGAATTGGTTTTTAAATATTCATAATTACTTTTCTATACAAGCCCCACACAATTGCTGTATTTTTTTATCTTAAGTACTGTAGGTAGCTCGAAAAGAATGGTAGAAAATATTCATAGATTTTGTATTGTTTGACTTACGTGGTGACCAGTGTACCAGTCATTTTTTGGGGTTTCCTGGTATAAAAAGAGTGAAAAAAATACTTGTGTAAAAGGAAAGGGACGTGTAATCTATAAGAGCCACGGAGATAAGTATATTATTGCAGTATTTTTACTTTTATAACATCAGCATGTTGTATAACCAGTAGTAACAACCCATTTATAATATAGAACCCCAAGTACAGTACATTGATTAGTTATTATTAGTTGCTTGGGGTTTGGAGTGATTTTGAGTAATTGTCCAAATGTGTCTAACCCTACTTCAAAGTTTTAGAACTAGTACATCATGATTGTTTTATGATTTTATTTTGTGGCTTTATATAATTTTTCAGAAGTCAAAATATTTTTAGTGTTGAGCCATGACTTGCAATGCTTACACAATATGTTGAGTTGGTATCTTTTGATGCAGAGGACACCAAAAGTGGTAATGTAAGTGAAATGTAATTTACTGAAAGAAATTATTCCTTCAACATTAATAGACAAATAATTAACCTGTTGGTATTTAAGGATTAAATTGTGGTTATCTTGTCTGAAAAGAATGTGTAAGAACCCTCAGAGATGGAAATTTATGATTATCGTCATGAAAGTAAATTTAGTCACCCTTAAGAATGGTGCGAATATGAAAACTGCTCTAATCAGTGGTTTTATTATAGATATTCATCATGGTGGGCAAATTGTTTTTTTTTAGTATTGCATAAGACTGGTCATGCCATAATTTTTCAATGTTAAAATTTAATGATTTACAAGATTTGACAAATTCTATATTACTAGTAATTCCATTCTCAGAACTTAACAAGCATAACATTTGAAGCCATTTTATATTGTCTTTTTGGCTTGATGCTTTCTTCTGATAGTTGCTTGGTTGAACTGATTGTATATGAACCAAAGCATGAGAACTCGGGCAACCCACCCAACATATCGAGCTCGATAAATTACTCGTTAGTCCGAGGAAGTGTGAATAGCGGGAGGTTTGGGTGTATGTGGTGCGAGTGTGTGTGTGTAAAATGTGTGAACAGGGAGAGGTGCGAGTGCAAGCAGTGGTGTGAACAGGAAAGGTTTGACTACTTTTGAGTACAATAGATCTTGGGTCATATATATTTAGGTTGCAAAATGAAGAAAAAATTTACTAAAAACATATAAATATATTATAGGGTGATCTGTTTATTTAAATAAATCATTGTCATAAGTACTGTACTGTATGCAACTGGCCTGATTTGCCTAATAACAACGTACGGGAAATTTTTCTAAATTCAAACGGTTTTTCCCAAAAGTTATCAGTGTAGCTTACTCCATCAGCGAGGCTTGTAACTTTTCAGTATTTTGCTCTAATGCAAACAATTTCAAAGATATGTATTGTTTCTTTGATTCAGGAATGTTGCTACAAGCCTTGAGGGTGTGCAGCCCTGAGTTTTTCTATAAAGAGATTGCTAAAATATATGAAATTGGGAAGAGTTTAAAATGCCCTAAGATGTTTTTGCGTTGCTTATTCGGGCAAGCTAAACGTACGTTTTATAATCATGTCCCCAAAGCTAAACCAGAAATTAGAAACTCGTTGGTGGTACAGCAGTCCTTATATGGTAGGACTAGGAAAAACTTTCCCCAGTTTTTAAGAACCTTAATATGAATCTGGTGTTCAATAATAGTATGATTAAGTCCAATTTAATAAAAAAAATTCCCAGGTACAGCAGGTTGTGTGTTCAATTCCCTGCAATAATTGGTAGTCTATGTACCTCGGACGAACTGGAAAATCCTTACAATTGCACTTTTCCCAACATGCTAGACAACTGCCCAGATTTCTAGTGCATTGTACCTACACGCAAGTTTGTGTGATCACACTATTAATTAGGGAGAGGCGAAAAGCATTACCAATTGCAGCGGTTTTGTTGAATGGAATTTGATTGAGTCTGCCCTAATCAGTGTCCAAATCTTCTTGATGTTAGTACTGGTATGTACAAACATGACCCATATTTAAGTTGCAATATTGCACAACAATTTATGGAAAAAACTTGTCAGGGAGTGTTACAGTGTCTCAATACAATATTATAATAGATATATTATCTATTTGTGCAATGAGTCTTTTTCTTTATTCTTTCAAACTTATTCTCTGACCACTTGTTACTTCTGGACTGTTCTAAGGTACTCTATACCTGCTTGTGGCTACATCACTCCCTGGGGATGGGTGATCAGGCTGCAGACATTGGGCTCCACCCTCCCTCTGCTCCTCTTAGCCAGTCTGTTGTTGAGAAAGGCTCTAACCAGCCGAAACGTTTTTGCATAACTACATTTTAAAATGCCTTTTGAAATTTGTTCTTTAATAACTACGTACTACATGAATTACTTGTGCCTAGTTTTATGTACTGGGCAGTGCCGAGTAATAATCGGCATAATTGGGTTGTATAAAAAATAAGGCTCGAATCAAAATTTAAAAATAATTTTGCTTGGGAAATTCTGGCTATTAGGTATGAGACACATTGCTGTGTGTGTGTATGTATGTATGTATGTATATATATATATAATATATATAATATATATATATATATATATATATATATATATTATATAAAGAAAATTGATTACTTGCTACTCTTTTTATCCTAGTATTAATCAGAGTTACTGCTATAATTACTGAAATAGCTCTTCAGGCAATTAAATTATCTTGCCCCTTTCCAAACACTGTTCTCTAGGAAATGGCATATTCCCTAAAAGTTGTGTGGAGGAATTAGTGATACATTCACCATAATTATTGTAATAGGTAAACCATTCACTCCATTCCTCCTTCCCCTGTGTTATGAGTGTTAATAGAGAATAGGTGCACAAGTATCATTCTATTAAATGTACATTCAAGCAGTCCTGTAGTGAAATTGCTCTCGTCACAGTGCCACATCGATATGATGATGATTACTTTTGGCTAGATTGCACAGACAGTTGCAAGATTTTTAGGTTTTTTGAGCCATGTTTAACGGCTAAAAAAAAAAATTGCATTTTATCTCTCATTCTGTGGTATGTAAAAATGTGCCTTCATCATAATGCCTTTTGTTTAAGAGGGACCTTCTCAAACTTTGAGATTGCTTCCATAGTACCAGTAATTAATAGTGGGAGGTAAAGTTGAGCAAAGATGCATTGTGTACTCAAATGGTTTTTTTTTCAGACTATTCCATGCCTTTTCCCAGTTGATGCAATAACCAGCATTTTTAGTCACGTGTGTGTCAAACATAATTGCTTTTTTTTTTTTTTTTTTCTTTGTATTGGCTGGAAAATGGTAGAGAAGATTGTTTCAATTTCTTTATTGATCCTGTTTGTTCATAGTTTGTTGATGTAGGTAGTGAAGAGCACAAAGTGCTGACAACAGTGTAGAAACACCAAGAGAAGAGAAAGACTTGAATAGCAAATGACGTTTTTTCTGTGAGACCTTTATCAAGGCTAATATACCGGGCTAGTGCTCATAATGGGGCTACATAGGGGAAGAAGGGGAAGGAACTATCAAGAGAAAGTGCCAAGCCATTGAAAGTGTGTGCAAAAGACATCTATTACAATCCAAACTTTTGTTAGCAGCAATAGTTGCCTTATAATAATCAACAAAGTAAATGTATGCAAAGCATCCCAAAACCTAAATATGGTGATTTATGAACACTTATGTCTGTTTCGCTAACAACAACAACAACAACAGTGTGCGTCTTGCACATAGGAGCAACCATTCATTAGCTTAAGAGATGCTAAGCTTATTAACAAAGAAGAAAATATTAGGTGACTGTGTATTGAGTCTGCAGCCATTAAACACTGCAACACCATCAAATAGCATGAAAATTTAATGTTGCCATCTGGTTGATACTTGGTTGATGGGGTTCTGGGAGTTCTTCTACTCCCCAAGCCTGGCCCGAGGCCAGGCTTGACTTGTGAGAGTTTGGTCCACTAGGCTGTTGCTTGGAGCAGCCCTCAGGCCCACATACCCACCACAGTCCGGTTGGTCCGGCACTCCTTGGAGGAATAAATCTAGTTTCCTCTTGAAGATGTCCACGGTTGTTCCGGCAACCCTCTTGCTAGCTTAATACTTCATATACATGGATAAAACTACAAAATCTATCGCCCTCACTTGTTTTGCCATGTTGCCCTTTTATAAGCATTCGCCTTGTGAATAAGATTTTATGAAGCCCTTACATGGGAAATAATATTTGCTTTTAAGGTTAGTCTCTTTGATGCTTCTATAATGTTGACTGTTAAAAATAGATCCTCATAGTTTTATTGTCTTCAAAGTATTGTACTAAAAATTATATAGTTGTATAAATATTTATATTGAAGATGATGGTAAATTTTATTAATTTTCTTTTTTTTATAGATTTTATTCAAATTACATACAGTATCAATACTAAAATAATGTGCAAATTATATATATTTTATTTTGCATCTCAATGTATGCAAGGTGTTTACATTCTTAATAAATATATATTAACTAATTGTAAAATGTTTTATTTCTTGCCTATTGCTGACAGTCCTCCACTTCGGAACTGTCAACTCCAATGATCTTAATATATATAGGCAAGACAATAGTTCTTTTGAGGAACCTGGTAATGCACAAACTAGGCTTTTTCAAAGATTCCATCATTTCCACATACAATTTAGACATAGCTGAAGCACTACATATCAAACACTTGACCAACTGCTAACAGCCAGTTTAAACTTTAGTACATCCTACCATTTAAAAGACCAAGACATAATTATCAGTTCTCACAACACTTACTCCCCCAGCTGACCAATGAAAATGTTATCTTGCGCTTTGAAATAGCCAAGTTATTTAAATGAATATGGGCACAAAGTTATATTATAGAGGGGAAAAAAGAGATGCCATCCAAGAATGCCTTTAGTCCTAATTTTGGAGGGACCCATTTGGTCTGGGCTTATTCGTTACAACAGGTTCACAAAAGAGGCCAAGTTTTACAAGTTCAGGCATGGGAGATGTTGAGACGATTTCTACCACGAATAAATTGGGCTTGCAGTGCTGACCGTTGATCCTGTTGTGCTCGCAGGAGCCGTTCTTGAATGTAACGCCACCAATTGTGACGTTTGTGAACACAGTAGGACACAAGCTCTGTGGATGAGGAGAGGAGCCATAACATTAGAGGGGGACAACTAGCTGATTGGCTTTATCAGGCACCAGCAAGTTATTGTATTTGACCAGGTAGGTATCAGTTTATGGTCAATATGTATTTTACACTTTATACTGCAACTATCACCAAATGTTTGTCAATATACTTCTTGCAGTGATACCTATACATACTAATATTGTAGTTAATATTACATAGTGTGTGTGTTCACCTAGCAATGAATAGGTACCTAGGAGTTAGTCATCTTTTGTAGAGTAGCATCCTGGGGAGGGTCAGTAGTTCGATCTTGGGGTTTGGGGACCTCGATAAGAGTAATGTACTGTATATACACACACAGGCTGCCTGTACCCTGAGAAAATTAATATGATCCTGTGCTTTGTCCAGATGGCATCACTATATACCCCTTGGAAGAGATGCAAACAGCTGGTGTAGGACTACACATGTATCCATCCTTGCTGATACCTATATACACTTTGGTGCTGATCAAGCAGGTGGTGCGGCCAACTACAGGGAAACAGCAAAATCAAACAAGTACAGGTAACTGGAAAGTCAATCCATCATTATTCTCAGAGTATTTGAGATGCTTGGCCCCCTTGGGTAGGAGTGCTTTGAGCTTTTTCAAAAAATTGAGTTCTAAGCTTGTTGACACCACCGGAGACTCAAGAGCTGCCAGTTTCCTATTTCAGCACTTCAGTGTGGCGATCCAGAGGGGAAACACCTGCTGTGTCCTTGGTTCCTGTTTCACCAATGAACCAATGTATGACTCGTAACCTTTAAATATCTAATAGAGCAAAACAAAACACGAAAGGAAGTGAATTGGTAGGACAAAAGAAAATGGAAACTGTATTGGAGGAGACCCCCCCCCCAAAAAAAATAAAATAAACATATATTGTGTGTTCTTTTTTATGAGGCTATGGATCCTCTTCTGCCAGTCAATTGGGATTGAGATTAAGCCACCTAAGAGGTGGCATGGGCAGAATAATCCGTAATTCTGCCAGCCAGAGGTGGTATCCCCATTTAATTTCTAATTTATTTGTATGTGTGTGTGTGTGTGTACTCACCTAGTTGTGTTTGCGGGGGTTGAGCTCTGGCTCTTTGGTCCCGCCTCGCAACTGTCAATCAACAGGTGTACAGATTCCTGAGCCTGCTGGGCTCTATCATATCTACATTTGAAACTGTGTCGACCTCCACCACATCACTTCCTAATGCATTCCATTTATTAACTATTCTGACACTGAAAAAGTTCTTTGTGTGTGTGTATATATATACACATATACAGTGTGTGTATGTATATATATATATAATATATATATAATATATATATAATATATATATAATATATATGTTTTCTCTTTCAGCGCCTCAGTGTCGCGATCCAGAGGGGAAATGCCCGCTGTATCCTCGGTTCCTGCCCGGCGTCGGAGGAGTTCGAGGAAATCTACAGCCTCTAGGAAGCGAACTTTTTCTTGTGTCCTCTTAATGTTCATTTTTTGTATGAAATCAGATATGTAACTGTATAACCTTGCATAATAAAGTGTACATCATAATAAAAAAAAAAGGGGGTGGTAGGAGAAGTGAACACTCTTTCGCATTCAGAGTTAAATGTCAAGTTTTTCCCTGAGTGCTCTGTGTTCCCTTCTCTGAGGCTGTGGGTCCCTATAATTACACCAGTGGTGGTACCCCCCTATATATATATATATATATATATATATATATATATATATATATATATATATATAATTTATTTATTTAATGCATAATTCATGTGGCAGGGGACAGGCAGCCAGTTTATACATTCAGTACATGTTAGGCTTATATCGTGTGAGTGTTTATATGTGTGTGTTTGTAAGTGTAACTGAATGGGTGTATCAAGATGCTAAGTGTGCAGTGTGATTGTGACCTTAAGTGTAGAAACACACATTCCTCTCACCGAAACGTTCCTGCTGGTATTGAAGAATGGACAGTTTGTGTCTTCTGAAAGGAAAAATATACAGAATTTATTGAAAGAATCCATAACAATACTAGTAAGAATAATGATATGGAATATTGGTTATTGTTATTTTGTTATGAATAAAGTATTATTGTTCTAATTAAGAATTAGTAACATTTACAGAAACTAAGACAAATAACGAAGCCTGCAATATAGGTTTGTAGTTGTATGGGGCCATGCAGCTTCTGCAACTGCTGCCGATTCTGCTACTAAAACTGATACTATTGCAACACTCTAATTTGTATATTTAACAGACCAGTTGTAGAACAGTTAACTCATTTTATCTGCAAGAGTTTAGGAATCTTATGTTGAGGTAACTTAAACAAAAGCCATTTTCTCATCTGGCTAAGGATTAATTTGTTGTGGCCAATTCTATTTAAAAACTATAATAATGCAATAATTATTGACCCTTCAGTTACTATACACCTATTATTACCATTGTGGTTTATGTTTCCTTTACTATTTCTACTACCAGTATACTTCTAATACTACTTGTACTACTACTACTACTACTACCAGCATTGATGATGTAGAAAATGTGCCACAATAGGTAAAGAATATATTCACCGAGAAGTGTACCCCCATTTCTATGTATATATATACTGAGAGTTTACTTTAATATACTTGCTGGTTAGTCAATAAGCTTAATAACGGCCTTAATAGCCCTCGTGCTGTTGATAAGTCCTAAGACCAACTCCAAATCAAAAGAAACTCACCGACTGGATGGTGATAAGTAGTGTCTGAAGCTGGAGCCGGGAAGTTGGCCACCAGACCAATGAGACAAGCTGCGACAACCCCACATTGTGTTAGCCTGTGTCCGGTAGCCATCTTCAGAGGTTCTCCACCTGTGTAAAACAGTAATTTATACTATTATGTACTAGTACATGCAACGCATGACTATATAGAGTAGGTTTAAGTTATCTTTAGGGGGGTAGAAATAGCCTAAGCTACTCTATCCCTTTCAGATGTATTTCTTTCGTATCTCAATAAACATATTTGAACTTGAACTTGAAGTTATCTTTATAAAACTGGTGAGGCTTGGTGACTCAGTAGGGATGAGATTTGTCACGGGTTGGGATTTTGAGTAGTTGACCGGCGAATGTAGTCAAAAGTTAAAAAATAACTAGTTGAGAGTTGGCTCACTAAAAGTTTTGTTTACAATATTTATGTACTCGTTTTCACCCATAGGGACCAGGGTTTAGGATCTCGGTAGTACAGTCGGGTTCGTTCTCGACTCAGTCGAGAATTCCTGGTTTGAATCCCTGGATAGACAGAAATGGTTGGGCTCTTTCCCTATCACCTAATGCACCTGTCCACCTAGCAGAAAACTGGTACCAGGAGTTCGTCAACTTGTGGGATTTCATCCTGGGGGGGGGGGAGTCAGTAATTTGACCATGAGGGGGGGTGGCCCTCGCCAAAATTAAATTTTAAAATCCAGCTAGAAAAAAATGTTGGGAAAATGAGGTGATTTTTGACAAGCCAATGTCTCCCTGTTCTCGTCGAGGCCACTAGAGTGTTAGTCGCCCTCAATTAAATTCAATTAAATGTTGGGAGACTAATTCACATTAATTAATTAAGAACAATTATATTTATATAGTTCACTGATTAATTAAGAAGTATTATATTTGACAAGTTATCGTACCAAAGTGTTGATGTGCAAGAGCTGACACGACTACGGTCGTCAGACGCGGTGGTCAAGGTGTCTGGTGGAGAGGTGATGGGTCAAGTGCAGTGGACACGGCTGATATATATATATATATATGTACCCTGTGGGTGCTGACATGCATAGTTCCGTCACCCCGGGGGACACACAGCAGGATGCTGCTGCCTCCATCTCATTAGCAGAGAGAGAACATTTCTATGAACTAGTGTTTCCCCTTGTAAGTGACGGAAGCAACCTAGTACTGATTGACGCAGCTTGGCGATTTGCATATTATTTATATATATATATAAATATATGTGTGTATATCACGAAAATAAACACGTGATTAAAAATGTGACAGTGTCAGACCACGGAGGAAAATTGAAACAGGAATTTCCTTAAGTACTTTCGTATATTAATACATCTTTAGAAGGAGTCAATATATATATAAGAGTCAATTATATATATAAATATATATAATATTTGGTTATATATATAATATGTATATAGCAAAAAAGTTGTCAGGAAAGAGGTGAAGAGGTGAGAGCGGAGGCGCCGCTGTGTTTGTTGTGGCACCAAGTGCTCAATGGCTCGTGTGGTCGTTCCCATTGTTATCCTGAATATGTTGGCAACATAACAAACACCCGTGGATCATGGCGCCGACAAGTGCAAGTAACTTGTTGGTGATGGCATCTACAAGCAGGTAACTAAAGATAAGGC